TATCAGGACCCTTTATCCCAGGGTTTTAATAGATGTAGGATTGGGGATAGGCATCACCTTTTAAAAAAAAATCTCCTCAACTGAATCTAATGTATTACTGCCAAGGCCAAGAATCAGTGGATTCAATGGTCTCTAGGGTCCAATAAAACTCTTTAATTCTGGAATATTTAATTAGACTGCATTTCTATTTTAAACATGGAAAGATATCATAGAATTGCATTCTGTTTACCATAGTCATTTTCTGAGGTTGCCAAGAATAAGGATAAATCAATAAAACTGCCTTTCTCTGGCCCATTTCTACAGTTGTTCTCTTTAAGAATTACTTAAATGAGTAACAGTTGCTGCCCCAATTCATCTAATTCTCTAGTTCTTACTGGCTGATTCAATTTTGACTTTTCTTGATCTCAGTGCTTTTTAGCCATGTGCATTCTGGTTTTACAAATTCCTTTAGAGAATACTGTTTCTCATGTGGAGTGTATCTGTAGTATCATCGCTATATGTGGCTGAATCCTTAACCACTAAGCATTCCCAAACTTTTATTTCTGTCAGTCATAAATCCTTTTACTTGAACAGAGATATGCCTCTATAATATACCTCTAGTGATAAATATACTTTTTCCTCTTACTTTTGTTCTCTCACTAGAAAGATGCATGGCAGTCTCCTTTTTTTCTTTAATCAAATATCACTCCATCAGAGATGTCATCCTTGAGTAACCTAACTACCTTACACTTGTGTATTTCCTTTCATAGCACTGATCACTTCATGCTGTCATTTTAATTGGTTTTGCCTGTTTCTTTTCATCTTCTTCTAACTAATATGTAAACTTGGTTGCTTTTGATGACTGGTTTTATCGCCAGTGTCCATATCATTGATTCACACATAACAGGTACTTGGTAAATATTTGTTGAATAAATAAGTGAAAGAATGGATAATAGGGACATTTCATGACCAGGATTGTAATTTGCTAGTCAATTGAAGACTGGTGTCAGAGCTAAATCTGGATTATCCAGGAGTCCTGCTTTTCTCTGTGTGGAGACCACTGGTTGCAGAGATGAGAATCAACACAAGGAGAGGGAAAGAGATTTGAGAGCTAGCCCAGTGGAGCCTTAGGTTTTTATTTTTTTAGTTATGGTGGTAAAAATGCGTCCTAGTTAATTTAGCCAATAATAGAATACACAAAGGAGCCATCCTACACAAGTATGGAGAAATGCAAAACTACAAGTAATAAGAGATGCAATTTCCAGGGCACACACAACAAACACTCATGCTGCACATTGTTATGCTTTCAAGGTAGCATATTATCTTGGCTTTTACAAAGTATTTCCCTTAAACATAGTAATTCAATTATCAGTTCCATTTAATTACTGGGTAATATACTTAACTGATATACTCTAATTTCAGTCCTGTTAAATGGAACAGATCTCTGGTGTAAAATAATTTTACAATCGACATAAAAATAGTGAGCACATTAGTGTAATTTTATATTCTGCATAGATCTTAACAGTTTAGATCAACCTATAATTAAATCTTGCATTACAAATATGAATGTTTTGTGCACATAAGTGGTTTGAGTTTCAAACAGCTGCCTTTACAAATATATTGTAAAAATATATTTATCAAGTAAACTGATTTCAAATTTCTCTGGAGGATACATTTTAAAAAATGTTTGAGCTAGCCAAAGTCTCCCTATCTTTATGAAATTTTCAACACTGCTGCTGTACATGTAAGGCATTTAACAATGCCAGTTAACCTCTTAGTTTCTAGGCTCTCTCCTAATCCTTTCCTTACCTCTACATTAATAGCACAAAAATTTACTTTGGTCAAATTCCTTGTTGTTCTCTACGTGGCAAAGTCCTTCATCAAGTCCAAAATGAGTCAATATAAATCTGAATTACTTGTTTTCACTCAATATCAAATCATGTTTAAAATGGAATTATATGACAATGTGTATATACATAAAGGAAATTTATAAGGACAAAAACTTACATAATCAAGTATCTCTGAGTCAAGCATACTTAAAAATGCAATGTAATTTTTTATATAAATAACCAAGGTTGGATAAAGAAGAAAAGAAAGAGGAAGAAGGCAAAGTAGAGGACTTGAAGAGATGAACTCTCATTGTGCATTGGAGCAAAAATGTAGATGGGAAAATAAATTATGATACCAACCCAGTAAAAATTATTAAAGCCCATGACCAATTTTAAATAATGGAATATAAATTTTCTTAAAACTTTAAGTTTATATTATAGCAACTCTTTTTCCAAAAGTATAATAGTAGAGAGAGAGAGAGAGAGAGAGAGAGAGAGAGAGAGAGAGAGAAACACATACATAGATCTACATATATTGATAATCAGGAAGAAATGAATCAGTTGTAGGAATGGAGACTGGACACTGATTTTGCAACTTTAACTTTTCTGAGTCTCAGTCATATCATCTTTAGAATGGTGTTAATAATTTTTGTCCTATATAGGTCTCAAGGTTAGGTGTATGTTCCAATGGAATTGAATAAGGAAGCCCTTCTTGGCTGTAAAGTCACGAGGAGGCCAGTAAACCAGCTCTTTGGTTTTCTATCTCTCCTAATTCACCTCATTCTGAATGATGAGACTGTGCCTTAGCGACATATCAGGCTTTAACCACATTCTAATTAAGGTCCATAGTATACATTAGGGTTCACTCCTGGTATCCTCCTATGAATTACAACAAATGAATAATGACATGTATCCACCATGATAGTATGATACAGGATAGTTTCACTACCCTAAAAATCCTCTTTGTCTATATATTAATTTCTTCCTCTTCCTCCTCTCCCCTACAACCAATTGCTTTTTGCTGTTTCTATAGTTTTGCCTTTCCCAGAATGTCACATGGTTGAAAGCATACCATATGAAGCCCCTTCAGACTGTTTGTTTTTTCACTTAACAATATGCATTTAATTTTTCTTTATGTCCTTTTGTTGCTTGGTAGCTCATTTCTTTTTATAACAGAACTAGAGGCCCAGTGCATGAAATTTGTGCACAGGTAGGATCCCTAGGCCTGGCCAGGAATCAGGGCCAATCAGGCTCCCCGTCTCCCTGCCTCCCTACCTCCCCGCCTCTTCCTTCTCTCTATCCCTCAGCGCCCATTCACCTGTTCACCTCTGCTGCCCCTGGTTGCTCACCATGTTCCACACCCTGTGGTGGTCAGCACACATCATAGCGAGCAATCGAACTCCTGGTCTCCTGGTCAAACTCCTGAGAGGATATTTTGCATATTAGCTATATATATATATATATATATATATATATATATATATATGTAATTTTATTGTATGAATATAACAAGTTTGTTTACCCATTTACCTATTGAAGGACACCTTGGATGTTCATAATTTGGGGCAGTTATGAATAAATAAAGCTGTCATTATAGACATCCACATGTAGGTTTTTTTCATGAACATATGTTTATAACACATTTAGGTATATACCCAGGGACATGATTGCTGGATTGTATGGTAAGAGTAAGTTTAGAACTGCTCTCTCCGGCCCACCCTGTTGATCCCGAGCCCGAGCGACCCACCCGCCCCGCCTAAGCCCTGCGCAGAGCCATTTACCAGATAGCCTCAGGCAAAGGCTAGATTAGCACCTCCCTAGAGGACAGAAGTTTTCCCACTGCAGACACAGCTGATTCTCACAGCCAGCTGGCCTGGAGGTCAAATCCCCCCAGTATTAACTACAACAATCAAGGCTTAACTACAGGAGGACTGCACACAAAGACCACTAGGGGGTGCAACAAGAAAGCATAAAAAATGCAGAGACAAAGAAACAGGACAAAACTGTCAATGGAGGTTATTCAGTTCAGAATCACACTTTTAAGGTCTCTCAAGAACTGTCTAGAAGCCGCTGATAAACTTAATGAGATCCTCAACAAATCTAATGAGACCCTCAATGTTATGATAAAGAACCAACTAGAAATTAAACATACATGGACTGAAATAAAGAATATTATACAGACTCCCAACAGCAGACCAGAGGACCGCAAGATTCAAGGCAAAGATTTGAAATGCGAAGAAGCTAAAAACACCCAACCAGAAAAGCAAAATGAAAAAAGAATCCGAAAATAGGAAGATAGTGTAAGGAGCCTCTGGGACAGCTTCAAGCGTACCAACATCCGAATTATAGGGGTGCCAGAAGATGAGAGAGAGCAAGATATTGAAAACCTATTTGAAGAAATAATGACAGAAAACTTCCCCTACCTGGTGAAAGAAATAGACTTACAAGTCCAGGAAGCACGGAGAACCCCAAACAAAAGGAATCCAAAGAGGACCACACCAAGGCACATCATAATTAAAATGCCAAGAGCAAAAGACAAAGAGAGACTCTTAAGAGCAGCAAGAGAAAGAAACTCAGTTACCTACAAGGGACTACCCATACGACTGTCAGCTGATTTCTCAACAGAAATTTTGCAGGCCAGGAGGGAATGGCAAGAAATATTCAAAGTGATGAATACCAAGAACCTACAACCAAGATTACTTTATCCAGCAAAGCTATCATTCAGAACTGAAGGTCAGATAAAGAGCTTCACAGATAAGGAAAAGCTAAAGGAGTTCATCACCACCAAACCAGGATTATATGAAATGCTGAAAGGTATCCTTTAATAAGAGGAAGAAGAAGAAAAAGGTAAAGATACAAATTATGAACAATAAACATGCATCTATCAACAAGTGAATCTAAGAATCAAGTGAATAAATAATCTGGTGATCATAATAGAATCAGGGACATAGAAAGGGAATGGACTGACTATTCTTGGGGGGGAAAGGGGTGTGGGAGATGCGGGAAGAGACTGGACAAAAATCGTGCACCTATGGATGAGGACAGTGGGTGGGGAGTGAGGGCGGATGGTGGGGCGGGAACTGGGAGGAGGGGAGTTATGGGGGGAAAAAAGAGGAACAAATGTAATAATCTGAACAATAAAGATTTAATTAAGAAAAAAAAAAAGAAGTGATATCTTTAGCAAAGTCTCTCATGAAGTCTTGGAAAAAGTTACTAGATGGACCATCAACTGATAAATGTCCTGAACAAAAGGAAAAAGATACTGCAATTACATCACAGAATAGCCCTGAAGCAAGAGAAGAAAGTCGCTCCAGTGGCAATGCAAGCAGCAGAAAGGATGAGATGAATGTTCGAGATACTTATGTGTCATCATTTCCTCGGGCGCCAAGCACTTCCGACTCTGTACGGTTAAAGTGTAGGGAGATGCTTGCTGCCGCCCTTCGAACAGGAGATGACTACATTGCTCTTGGAGCTGATGAAGAAGAATTAGGATCTCAAATTGAGGAAGCTATATATCAAGAAATAAGGAATACAGACATGAAATACAAAAACAGAGTACAAAGTAGAATATTAAATCTTAAGGATGCAAAGAATCCAAATTTAAGGAAAAATGTGCTGTGTGGCAATATCTCTCCTGACTTATTGGCTAGGATGACGGCAGAGGAAATGGCTAGTGATGAGCTCAAAGAGATGAGGAAAAACTTGACCGCAGAAGCCATCAGAGAGCATCACATGGCCAAGACGGGCGGAACCCAGACTGACTTATTCACATGTGGCAAATGTAAAAAGAAGAATTGTACTTACACACAGCTACAAACTCGTAGTGCTGATGAACCGATGACAACATTTGTTGTCTGCAATGAATGTGGAAATTGATGGAAGTTCTGTTGAGTTGGAAGAATTGGGAAAAAGTCGGGACCACTGAGAAAATGGATTTTGTAACTGGCTTTAAAACTAGGCCAAGGAAGTAGTTTTTCCGCAAATCAGATTTTTAAAGAAAATGCATCCCTATGTCTTTGTTTTTGACATAGTATCATCCTTTCTTAAATGCCTATAGTTTCAGATCAGTAGGGAGACTACATAATAATTATATGGTATCTATTTCAATTTTTTTTTTCATTTTTATAAGTAATTGATATTAAACTTTTATCAATCAAATTTTTGGCAATTTATTTTTTCCTTCTTAAAGGAAAATTACTTTTTTTACAGTCTGAAACAAACACAGTAGAAATGTTATTCTTCTCAGTTAATACATAAATGAAAATTACAATATAAGCCAAACCAATGGACATGGACAACAGGGAGATGAGAGCATGAGTGGGGGGGGGGAGGATGGGGGTTTAATGGGGGGGGGGGTGAGTACAAATTTGTAATACCTTAACTAAAAAGAATTTAAAAAAAAAAAGAAAAAAAAAGAGTAAGTTTAGCTTTTAAGAAACTGTCAAACTGTCTTCAAATTAACTATACCATTCCCTCCTGCAATAAATGAGAATTCCTTTTGTTCTATATTCTTGTCAGCATTTATGTTGTCAGTGTTTTGGATTTAAGCCATTCTAATAGGTATGGAGTGGTATCTCAATTTTTAATTTCCAATTACATAATGACATATAATGTTAACCATTTGTCCATATACTCATTTGCCATCTTTATATCTTCTTTTATGTAGTGTTTGTTAAGGTATTTGACCCATTTTTTAAAAATTGAATTGTTTTCTTATCATTGAATTTAAAAGTTCTTTGTATGTTTTAGATAAAATTACTTTATCAGATATACATTTTAAAAATATTTTCTCTCAGTCTGTGACTCATATTTTTAATCTCTTAATGCATTGAATTTTCATTCAGGGTAAGTACTATTATCTAAAGGAAACATCAAACAGAAACATTCATTGAATATGTCAGGCATTGTGCAAAGGAAATAGTGCTGAATGAGATGCTCTTTGCATTTAAGAATCCCTGTATGCAAGGAGAAAGTTGGGAAAAAGAGGGAAAAAAAGAAAAAAGATTACTCCATAATGTGTGTTATTACAGAGGTGGTAAAGGCATCATATTCACCATGAACATAAAAGGTAATACAGAATTAAGGCTTCTTGGTGGAGGTAAATTCAGTCTGACATTTAAAATATGTTAGATAGTGAGTGAGAAAAAGACTTTGCAGAAAAAGAGGTCATTTTGAGACAAGATATGGACAAGAGAAATAGCATGATTTGTGAGGGTAACCATAAACCTTTTAGTATTTAAATCAGGGGATGACAAGAGATGAGGCTGAAGGGTTAGTTGTAATTAGGTTGTAGAGTAACTAGAATGAACCTGAGAGGTGATACATGAGGACACCTGGTGAAAATTTATCTGAATAAAATTAACATGTGATTAAGAAAGAAGGGCAGAGGAAATAAAGCCTACATAACAAATAAAATCTGCTCATAAAAGATATAAAATATTCATAAAAAGTCAATTGCAATCAAAAGCAAGACCATGGCTGCCTCTGCTGAGGAAAAGAGCCTGATTTAATAACAAGACAGTTTGGGTCCAAAGGCACATGCAGAAGTTCACCAGTAGAGCATGGATGTTGAATTAGGAAAATAATATAAAAAGAAAAAAAAACAAACAAACAAGTAATCATGTATAACTGATAACATGACAAGGAGGCAACAAGTCCAGTGAGAGGATGGATTTTCCTCACTACCTTTAACAAGTCTTGGGGGGCAATTTATATAAAAATATCTCCATTTTTATATGCAGTTCTGTCTTAATTATATGAATAAACAATGACCATGGTAGTAATTCTTATTTATTTATTTATTTATTTATTTTAAATATATTTTATTGACTTTTCACAGAGAGGAAGGGAGAGAGATAGAGAGTCAGAAACATCGATGAGAGAGAAACATCCATCAGCCGCCTCCTGCACATCTCCCACTGGAGACGTGCCCGCAACCCAGGTACATGCCCTTGTCCGGAATCGAACCCGGGACCCCTCAGTCCGCAGGCCGATGCTCTATCCACTGAGCCAAACCGGTTTCGGCAATTCTTCTTTATTTATTACATTATTATATTTTGTAGAATTCCAAGTCAACTCCAGATGCTATCTTCTTAACTTTCCAAAATGACTAATCTGAAGAGGCACATTTGCATTTAAAATATTCAAGGCAAGGCTCACCTTCACCAGGTAGCTCACTTACCTAAACATTATTTATTTAAATGTGCTTAAGGGCATCCGAAATTATAATTTGGTCTCATTAAAAACCTCTATTTAGCTAAGCTCCCATTCAGGATGGAGAAAACTGGAAGAAGTATTGCTTCCATTCTAACAACAAGAAAAACAGATTACACAATCAGAGGTTGTCTTGAATCCATCAGGAACCTGGGGCTCTCCATGGCAATAACATAGAGTGAAAGTTAAAAGAAATATTGGAGTTTCTCGAAAGAGACAGGACATGCGCCCAAGATTACCTGTGGCAGAACATGGAAGGAAAATATACCAGGTGCCATAAAAAGCAGGAAGAATTCAGTTACATGTTTAATACACTCCCAAAGTTGATTGAAGGCTAGCATGAGATTATGACAGAAATGAATTCCTGGCAGCCACAGACAGACACACAAGTATTCCATTCACATTCACAAATTCTTCACCAACCTCCACTGCATGCTTAACAGAAACACTGGAACCAGGCAGAGCCCCTAATGATGTCTACCTACAAAGACAATTCAACAAGTTTTATGAAGTTAAACATACACTTAAAATACAACTGAACAATCTCACTCTGAAGTATTCACCCAAGATAGTTTTATTCACATAATATCCTATATGTGAATCTTTGTATTTTTCTCTGTAAATATATATATATATATATATATATATATATATATATATGTATATGTATTTGTATATATATATAGTAATTTTTCAAATACACTTGATGTACAATATTATATTAGTTACAGGTGTACAACCCCATAATTAGACATTTATATAAGTTATCAAGTGATCATCCCAATAAATCTAGTACCCAACTGACACCATTCATAGTTATTATAGTACTAGAGGCCTGATGCACAAAAAATCATGCAAGTGTAGGCTTTCCTTCCTCCAGCTGCTGACACTGGCTTCCCTCTGACACCAGCTTTCCTCTGGTACCCGGCACGGGGTTCCCTCTTCCAGCCACCTGCAGGTACCTGGGACCCGGGCTGGCTTCCCTCCAGCCCCCCAGCTTTGTCAGGAAGAACATCCAGAATGACTTCCAGAAGATGTATGGTATAATTAGCATATTACCCTTTTATTATTGTTATAAAGTGTTAACTATATTCCCTTATTCCCTGCTGTATTTTACATCCCCATGGCTATTCTGTAACTACCAATTTGTACTGCTTAATCCTGTCAGCATTTTAACCTATTCCCCTATATCCCCTCCCATCTGGCAACTATCAAACTATTCTTTCGTACATTTATTTTGGGTTTTTTTTAGATTCTACACATAAGTAAAATCATCTGGCATTTGTCTTTTTCTGTCTGACTTATTTCACTCAGCACAGTACCTTCTGTGTCCATCCATGTTGTTGCAGATGACGATTTCATTCCTATTCTATTGAATATGTATAGCTCTTCTTTATCCATTCATCTATTATTGAGCAATTAGATTGCTTAGATATTGTGGCTATTGTAAAAAATGCTGCAGTGAACTATGGATGTATGTCTTTTCAATTTAGTGTTTTAGGTTTCTTTGGATAAATACTCAGAAATGGAATTGCTGGGTCCCCTTTGGTCACTAGTTGTATCCTTTGTTTTAAAGTCTACTTTTTTTCTGGTATAACCATTATTATCTCAGCTTTTATTTTTCATTTCCCTTTACATGAAATATTCTCTTTATCCTTTTACTTTCAGTCTGTGTGTATCTTTTGATCTGAAATAAGTATTTTGTAGACAGCATCTGAAAGGATCTTGTTTTGTTGTCCATTCAGTCACCATGTCTTTTGATTGGGGCATTAATCCATTAGCATCTAAAGTAATTGTTGATAAATATGTATTTATTGCCATTTTGTTATTTATATTTTTATTCCCCCTTTTAATTTCTTCTCTTCTTAAAGAAGACAAGTTAACGTTTCTTCTAATACTGGGTTGGTGGTGATGAACTCCTTTAGCTTTTTCTTGTCTGGAAGCTCTTTATCTGTCCTTTGATTCTAAATGATTGCCTTGCTTGATAAAGTAATCTCAGTTGTAGCTCCTTGCTTTTCTATACTTTAAATATTCTGTATCAATTCCTTCTGACCTGCAAAGTTTCTGTTGAGAAATCAGCTGATAGCTTTATGGGAGCTCCCTTGCAGTAGCTAACAGCTTTCCTCTTGCTGCTTCTAAGATTCTCTATTTATCTTTAACCTGTGGCATTTTAATTACGATGTGCCTTGGTGTGGGCCTCTTTGGGTTCATTTTGTTTGGTATTCTGCACTTCCTGGACTTATGTGTCTATTTCCTTCACCTGATTAAGGAAGTTTCCATTATTATTAATTCAAATAGATTTTCAATGTCTTGCTGTCTCCTGGCACTCACATGATGCAAATGTTGGTATGCTTGAATTTGTCCCAGAAACTCCTGAAACTATCCTCTTTTTTATTATTCTTATTTCTTTTTCTGTTCCTGATTGTGTGTTTCTGGTTCCTTACCTTTCAAATAGTTGATGTGATCCTCTGCTTCATCTACTCTATTGTTGATTCTCTGTAATGCAGTCTTCAGTTCAGTAATAGCATTTTTAATTTCTGATGGGTTCTTTTTTTTATGGTTTCTATCTCCATATTTATGTTTCCTATTTCTTTTTTTAATTTCTCACTGAATTTATTGATTTCTCTAATTTCATTGAGCATCCTTATAATCAGTGTTTTCAATTCTAGATCTGAGAGATTACTTGTTTCCATTTTG